ACCAGGCTGTAAACACAAATAAAAGTGGCTTAAATTCTTGAAATGAAAATAATATCAGGCTGTAAACACAAACAGTAGCTAACGCATCCCTGAGGCAAGTCAGTGACTGGCCTCATCCAAGAGGAGTTAATGACCCAATATTTAGGAACAAGGCAGAGGTTTCCCAGTAACTTTGTGCCCAGTAGCTCATCAGAGAGCCGTACAGAAATGGAACATGCAAACGTTTCTAAGAAGACCTCTCAATTCCTCGGAAGCCCTAGGGAAAACTATTTTTCAGGTGAACGTTTCCTCTCCATCGCTCTCCCCAGCGCACCCTTCACCTCCTGGTTCCTCAGGCTGTAGATGAGGGGGTTCAGCATGGGGGTCACCACCGTGTAAAACACAGAAGCCACTTTGTCGAGGTCCTGGGAGTGCCTGGAGCTGGGCCGTGAGTACATGGATGCAGCAGATCCGTAGAAGAGGGTGACGGCAGTCAGGTGGGATGCACAGGTGGAGAAGGCTTTGTGTTTGCTGGCAGCCGAGCGCATTCTCAGGACGGTGGCCAGGATGTAGGTGTAGGAGATGAGGATGGTCAGGTTGGTGACGAACAGGTTGAAGCCAACCACAACAAACATCACAATCTCATTGATGGTGGGGTCCGTGCAAGAGATGGCGTAAAGCGGAGGCCCCTCACAGTAGAAGTGGTTGATGATGTTGGGACCACAGAAGGACAGCCGAAGTGCAAACCCCGTGTGGATAGTGGCATTCATGACTCCAGCGAGGTACGAGCCAGCTACCAGCAGCGCACAAACTCTGCTGGACATGGAGATGGCATAGAGCAGGGGGCTGCAGATGGCCACGTAGCGGTCGTAGGCCATCACAGCCAAGAGGTAGCACTCGGTGGTGGCGAAGACCGCATAGAAATAAAATTGTGCCAGGCACGCGGAGTAAGAAATGGCCTTCCTTTCCGCTAGGAGATCCACAAGCAGTCTGGGGGTGATTGAGGAGGAATAGCAGATGTCTAGGAAGGAGAGGCTGCTCAGGAAGAAGTACATGGGGGTGTGAAGCTGGGCATCCAGCCTGATTAACACCAGCATCCCCAGGTTCCCTAGCAGAGTGACCACGTAGATCACCAAGAAGACCACGAAGAGGACAGCCTGGACATCCCCCTGCTCTGAGAACCCCGAGAGAATAAATTCAGCACTGGGGGTGCGATTGCCTTTGGCCGCCATCGTAGTACAGTCGCTGTAGGGCAAGCAGAGGTGCGGAGAAACACAGGGTCAGCATCTTCCTGGTTTCCCCACAAACAAACGTTAAAGACGCATTTATTTTCACCAGGAAAGACAAATCTCAGAGGATGTGGAACAACATATTCAATGTCTGTCTCAAAACACGTTTCAAAGCAAGGGAAGTGCATGCCAGAATTTATTTCTGATGGTTTTATTGGTTTGATAAAGTGACTTTGCAAATAGGAAGGTTTGTGCTACCTCCTGAGGAAGTTAAGAAGTTTGTTACTCATCAGATCCAAAGAGATCACCACAGCAATTTATTCTAACATTAGAAATCAGAGCCTGCGTTTAAAAGAATAAATAAAGTTGCCTCAGAAAATCGAAAGAGAAAAAGCACTGCTGAGATATAGAGGCATTTTGTAGAGAATTCCCTTAAGGAGTTACAGAACAAATTAAAATGAAACTCTAATTTCTTCCCTTCCTTCCTACGAAACTCTGAAGTTAAGTGTGAAACAGGAGATTTAGTGCAAGTATTAAGCCCCCCTTTAAATGTGGTGGTACCCATGTCATTCCGGTGATGCCACTAAGAGGAGAAAGACAACAGAAAGAATTTATAAAGGTCGTTACCAGTGGAAACCCCAACAAAGCGACAGTGCCGTTATCAACTGGGGGGAGTAAGATGCTGATAATGCATTTTTTTAAGAAAAAAAAAAAAAGAGAAAATTAAGCTTATCCCTTAAAACAGAAGTTAGGAATAGTCACAGAAATTTCTCATTAAGGTGTTTTGAACTGTTAAACAAGATGCCAAATTACACCGTTGGGAAGGACCCGTCTGCACGAGGAAAGCTCAAGGCACGTGCCCCACCTCCACCTATACATCAGGTTCCCCCAAATCCGGATTCAGCCAAAGGAATTTTTATATTTCATTCCAGCATTAAGTCGGGCGCAGAAACTTTCGCGCCCCTCTAAGAAACAACTCGGAGTTTGCCAAATAACCCAGGTAGGGCTTCTCTGCCGTCACCTTCCCGGTATAGGGAAGAGCAGACCGCGCACCACCCGCTCTCCTCTCGGCTTCGTGTAACACCTCTGAGAGAAACCAGAGCTCGAGGACAGCGAGGGATTGGGTTTTTTGCCGGCACGATAACACGCCTCAGACCACCGATGCTTGTCCGAGCCTCTGCCTTCTCCAGCCACTGGACTATAATTATTAATCCTGGTAATCCTGATTAAAATAATCAGCTGAGGGGCTGCTAAGCTCTAAGTGCCTAAGTATCTGGGTTGGCTTGACTCATAGCCTCAGCTTGCGGCCGCCTCACATTTGGAAAAGCAATTTGTAAACGCCTGAGATATCCTGACCTTGGGTGGCTACTCCATGTGGGAACGGGCTCCTGCCTCGAGTCCTCTCCCTGCAACTCTGTGGAGCGCTATTTAGGCTAAAACTCACCTGTTTGCTCACATCTCGGGGCCCTTTTGGGTTTGTTATCTCCTAGACCAACATTTTACCTGAGAAATAAGCCCAAATTTTGCCCAGCGCCGGTGTTAAAAGCAAGAATGATTTGCCAGCCAGGAAGGGCGTCAATACTTGACCAAGAAAACCCACAGTTTCTCGGACTCTGTCATTAAAAGACCGAGGGTTTTGCCGCTGCCCTCCCAGGTGTGTCATGCAGGAAACTTCTCTTGGGAGTTGATGGCTTTGGAAACAGCTCCTTAAGGAGGAGACATGCCCTGATAAATAAACACAATTAGTTTCAGCAAGATAAATGTAACCTTGAGTAATTTTTCCCACTTATTTATATAAAGAAATATATATATATATATATATATATATATATAAATTTATCTCTTGGAATATGTCATTTATCTCTTGGAATCACAGAGAATGAAAAAGAACCCGTGTAAGAAAAAGAGTTTCAAGGGTCAGGAGATAGCTCAGGATTTGGGGAAGTGTTGCAACACTATCGGGGAGGGAGGCAAAATTATTCAGGAACTCTTCTCCTGCAATTTGCTTTAACATGATCTGGGATATCCTGTTGTCTAAAAACGCAAAGAGTTGGATCCAGGCATCTGGGAGAGTCACAGCCAGATTTATGGAGAAAAGTTTCTCTTTTATTGCTCCTAAAAGGACAAAACAACACTAGTATTTCTAATCAGATCTAGGGAGTTATTTCCTATCCATCCACAGAAAATAGAAACCTTCCTTCTGGTGTTAGTGACCTTGATATCAAAGCGAAAGCGTAGCTCTGACGCTATCTTCATCCCTTTTGCTTTCCTGTTCTTTCCAGAAAGGGTTTTCTGGATGCTGAGCGTCCATGCTCAGCTGAACTATAAAGTATTCATCAAATCTAGTTTCGCCTTCTCACTTCTGGGTGGGGTTTTTGAAGGACTCCAAAACATCAGCATGGTGAGCTGAAGCTTTCCCCTTATAGGATAGAATATGTTTCATTTAATTAAGTTATTAACCAGTTAATTCTTGTAAATTTAGTTAATTTACGTTTAAACTAACTCTTCAGAACATGCCCCGAGCGTGACTGCTCTGAGCAAAAGGTGCGTTTGTTGTCCGGCCGTGTCAGCCCATCACCCTTCGCTGCCAAGCAGCGAGCGGAGAAAACCATACGTTTTTTCCAGAAAAATTCATCTCGCCCTGATGTGGGTGTTTAAAATACATCAGATGAATCAAAGCCCCCAAATGCACGGTTGTCTCCATAAGGGGAACCGATGGTGACTAAGTCAGATGTGAAAGCCTACAATTAGACAGGATGACTCCTGGACCGAGATGACTCAACTCCTGGAACCTGGAAGCAGAAATTATTAATAAGCTGCAGCTGGGATGGAAAATAAACTTTGCCTGGATGGAGACGCATAAGTAGGAGAGGAAATTGGGGACGGGGGGGTTGGCCAGCGTTAAGAGTCTTGGAGCAACCAAAGAAGTCAAGCATGTTTGAATACAACATATGGCCAGAAGCGTGGAGGCTTTCCGTGTTGTCAACGCCATGTGACATCCTGGGACAAGCCAAGACTGCTCAGACAATGTCTTGAAAGACTGTTCCTGGCCAAGTTGAGAGGATGCTTGTCACAGGGGGTAAAACTCTACCTTGCTCCTTGGCAAAGGAGCATGTCATCATGGTGGCTCCAGGCTGGTCGATGTCCATAAGGGAGACCCACGCAGGAAAGCAAGATCCTCATCACGGGGGTTTACATGCTATACATATGAAGGGTGGGGATGTGCTGTTCCCCATAAAGACTATCCTTGGACAAATCAGAGACAATAATAAATCAGGTTTATTGTACTAAAGCAAAACCTTAGGCAACTACTTAGAAAAATTGACAACAAAAGTTATGAAAGACATTGTCCCTCCCCAGCACGGAGTAGCCTTTACTTAGATTGTCCCCTTCTGCTCTGAGCCACCTCTTGCAGGCCACAGAACTTAATATTGTTGCAACATCGCATTAAATCCTCTTTGGGAAAAAGTATCAGCCACGCACGTTGAAGCACTGCTTATAAATTTATCTACTCTGCAAGTTTCACTGCCAATTTCAGTGTTTTTAGGACCGTCTGTCTTTTCCGCATCCTTTCCTTCTTTCAGACATTGTAATTACAGGCAATTTATTTTTCAAGGGTCCCCAACATGGAATTAATTCATAATTTAAACTCTGTGGTGTTCAGGACAAGGCAGAGCCTGTACATCTCACCAGATGTGCGGAAACGTACAGTGCCCTCCAGCTGTCAGCCTTATTTCTCCTGCTGACTCCACCGTGGGTGGAGATATCTGCTCCGGTTTGGTTAGAGCGGGACTAGTGGGAATACATGCAGGAGAGGAGCCTGTTAGTAGCTCTTCTGAGGGTGCTCCTCACCTCCTTGTTCCTCAGGCTGTAGATGAAAGGGTTGAGCATGGGGGTCACCATGGTGTAGAAGACGGAGGCTGTTTTCCCTTGGTCTTCTGCGTGTCTGGAAAAGGGATGTAAATACAAGAAAGCCGCAGAGCCATAGAAGAGGGCAACAACCATGAGGTGGGAGGTGCAGGTGGAGAAGGCTTTGTGCCTGCCCTCCGCAGAGCGGATGTTCCAGATGGCGAGCAGGATGCAAGAGTAGGAGACAACGATGGCCAAGACTGAGATTGTTATGATGAAGCCAACACACACGGCCATCACAGTCTTGTTGAGCCAGGTGTCGGAGCACGAGAGCAGCAGGAGCGGTGGCATTTCACAGTAGAAATGATTGACAAGGTTTGGGCCACAGAAAGAGAGTCGGAGGAGACCACTGGTGTGCACAAGGGCGTTCAGGCTCCCGGCAGCATAGCAGCCCACCACCAGCTGGACACAGACCCCATGGGGCATGGCAACCAAGTAGCGCAGAGGCTCACAGATGGCCACGTAGCGATCATACGCCATGACAGCCAGAAGGATGGCTTCCGTGGTGCCAAATACCGCAAAGAAGTAAAACTGTGTGATGCAACCATTGAAAGAAATTACATTTCTCTCTACAAGGAGACCTGACAGGAACTTCGGCGTGATGGATGAAGAACAGCAGATGTCCATCAAAGAGAGGTGGCTGAGGAAGAAGTACATGGGCACGTGAAGCTGCGAGTTGGTCCTGATGAGGATGATCATCCCCAGGTTCCCCACCAGCGTGGTGATGTAGGTGAGCAAAAAAATCCCAAAAAGCAGCTCCTGCAGGTTGGTGAAGCCCACGAGGACAAACTCGGTCACACTCGAGTGGTTTCCCCCAGCCATTCTCCGGGTGCCAGCACAGAGGAGACAAAGAAACACAGGGAAGAGGCGAAATAACTTCTCTCAGCTTGCAGGAATACGTAGTGCCGGACGCTAAGGCGAGATTCTGGATAGATACACTCACTTATTTGGAGAAAAAATACCATAGCTATCCTCGGTGGGCAGGTTGAAGATCCAAAATAATACTCTGAAAAATAATATATTGACAAAAGAACAGCCAATAGATCATAAAACAGGAAAGAAAAAACCAACCAACCAAACAAACAAAAAACGTAAAGCTTAAATCTTAAAGATCTGCCTGACCCATTTTGGAAAGAATTCATCTTGCAAAATGATGTCTTCCCATGAACATCCAAATTCTTTCCAGCATGTGGGCATGTCTGGGAGGATTTCTTTCCCTTTGTTGGGGGGGTATTCTTATTTAGGGACAAGTAAACACAGTAATATCATGCCTTAATTTGCCACGCTAATTAACGTTGCATTAAATGGATAACAGGACACGTTGGAGGGATTTTCTCAGTCTGTAGTGATATGTTTGGGTCAACTAAAATGAGACCAGCGTACCTGATTGCAAGTTCATATATGTGTAGCTTCAAGAGAAAAACGCCCCCTTCCAATCTGAATTATACTTACACGCCGCTTTCCTTGCACCTCTTGGCTCTGCTAATATCGGGAATTTTTATCCAAACATTGAGTTAGGAATTAGGATTGGGATGTACCGGAGCACCTGTTTTTTCCTTCAGGGTGGACCTGAATAACTTCAGTATTGCTTCATGGTGGGGTTCCCGCTCCTGCAGAGGGTGGACACATTGGTTAAGGAAGCCCTTCCCCGTCCAGTCAAAAAAATGCCTCAAAACCTCTCAAAATTTCACCCTCCCTCTGGTCAGTGGCACCTCCAGTTGGTCTCAGGAAGAGACTCACTGTTCCGGGAGCTGAAGCTAAAGCTCCGCTGGTCTTTCCGAACCCAGGAAGGTTTCCCCGTGGCAGCCTCCGAGGTGGATGGATGATTTAAGCTTTACCCCACGCCCAGAGGAAAAATCACCAAAAGGTCTCTGGAAACGGAGCGAGCCGTCCCCGAAGAACCTGGGCTAAACACAGAGGTTTCTCCCCAAGGTTTTAGGGATGGGATTCCCCGAGGCACGTCAGAAATGATGCCCGCAGAGCCCGAGCCATTCCATTTGCATGCACAGCTTTGTAACAAAGAGTGGAACACAAGGCGATGCATTTTTGCTGGAAGCTTGAATTTGAAAGATTATTATTTTTTTTTAATTTATTTTTATTCTCCAGGAACATGGGAGAAAAGAAAAAAAATAACTCTAAGTAATGGATTAATTTAAGGAAATCATTTATTAATATTTGCAATGATCAGTTAGATTAATTTCCTTTCGTACTATGTACTCCCCCAGAGCAGATGTGGGTATGTTAAAGAAAAAGCAGATTGAAATGCAGATATCAATTTGTCATTGTGTCGTCATTTTCTTCTTTTTTTTTTTTTCAAGATAACTTGTCATTGTCCATTTATGCATGAATATGGTTTTGCTCCACTGCTTCCCGGGAGGCAGAGTCTCCGAGCGGGTCCTATAAGCAGCATTTGCGCGGACGCGGCTCTCTGGGAGCTCCAAGGGCAGGACGCATCACCCACGCGTGTGTCAGGACATGACCTCAGACTTAGGTGACTCTCTTCCAGACAGTTGCAATCAGGTGCCTGGATTTTCATCAGTACTTTTCTTTTCCTTCCTTTTTTTTTTTTTTCCCCCTCCTTTTTCATACTATGCATCTGCTGGTCGCACACTGTGGTGTTCAGCATCACTATAATTTTACCTGGTATATTTTTCTTCCTCTATTCTTATTTATGGTTTTTTTTAAAAAAAAAAAAATAGAGATGATTGCTTCTTACGGTGTCCACTAGACATGACCTTAAAATATGTGCACTGCCTGTTTGAGAAATGAATATTACCATTCTCACTTCCCTCTTTCTAGCAGCCCCGCGGTCTGTCTTCTAGCACCAGGGTGATGACCGTTTCTTCACGACGATTCCTCTTTTCCCATCACCCTTCTCGAAGTAGCTTTTACTTCTCCATTCCTCAGGCCGTAGGTCATTTGTCGCAGAAAGTCCCTTGACCCACTGCCAACGCTTTTCCTGGGGTGCCGGTGGGTGTCTTTGCCGCAAGGACATAATGATGGCTCAACTTCAACTTGGTGGCCACCACAACCTCCACGTCCTTCTCTGCCAAGCTGCTCTCCAGCCCGTCCTGGTGCCAGGGGCAATTCTTCCCCGTGGGCAGGACTCAGCATTTTCCCTTTTTGAAGTTTGTGCGATTCCCATCCACCCATTTTGGATAAAAAAAAACCCCAAACCTCCCTTGGAGAAGCCGTTTTGCATCATGTGCTTCAAAATTAAAAGCAGAATATTTACAACCACAACAGCTGAGGATGAAACTCGGTTTTCTGCTGCATCAGATGGGTAATTCCCAAATCTCTAATGTCTTGTGCCCAAGGTGGGGGGCAGAAAATGTCTTGTACCTGTGAGGCTTCCATCTTTCTTTCTGATGATGGACCTGTGGGACAGCCAAAATTGTTTTAGCCATTCTCCATCTTTGTTTCTTCCCCAGACAATGGTACAGGGGCATCACTCCATGGTGATGGAGTCAGTCTTGTGGGGTGCACCCACTGCCCAGAGCTGCAGGTCCTCCTCCTCGTGGTGTTCCTCATGATGTACATTACCAACCCAGAAGTTGATATCGAGCCTAGAAGAAATGAGAGGTACCAAAAGGTGGATGAACCCAGCGTAGGGGTATGTTTGCAGTTTTGGAGGAACAGAAATGAAAGCGATTGTACTAAATACAGAATAAAACTGAAGAACTGCTTTCCATCACCGAGACAACTTTATTCACCCTGCGCTGTCCAGAGGTTTAAAGCCAAGGAGGTTCATCGCTCTTTCAAGGCGATCACTGTGCAGAGCTCCTCCCACAGCACTCCATACTGCTGAGGCTACGAAATTTCCCTAATTTATTTGGTCATGAGGAACTGGAAGCCATGAGATTAATAGTCACAGGAAGTGCTCTCTTATTTATGTATTTATTTTTAACACCGATCCTACCCATGATTAATAAAGGGTGGACACTAAGCTTATGAGCGGTCCAACCATCAGCAGGAGCAGCGCGCTCCATGGGATGCTGAGCACGGTCCACATGCCCGAAACTCCTCTCGGCACACACGGGTGCTCCTGTGCAGGCAAGAGGGAAAACACGGGAGAAAGCACAAGCAAATATTTAGAATTAATCTGTCCCTCTTTTGTTACTAAAGGGAAAAAAAAAATAAGACTAGCTTTTTTCTTTTCTTCTTTTCAGAAAAAAAAAAAAAATATGATTGTCTGGTTCATCACAAACAACCAGTGAAGGCTGCTGCCGAGAGTATTGGGAAGTGAGAGGTTTGGTGCTCGTGAAAGGAAAAGAAACCGATAGTGTGGCTTGTGCTTTGTAGAAAAGAGCAGTTGATTGCAGATCGGGTTATGCTACGTCACCTGAATACCTTTAAAAGGGTTCAGGCGACCCAACCGCAGGCGTTTACACCCACCTTGGGCAGAGGGAAGGAGGTGGCTGCTGTGTCCCACTGCGAACATCTCACATCTCGGGTGGCCGTCTCCTCGTCCTCCTTAATTTCCGTCTCCACCTCAGTTAGTGTTCATGTAACTGTGCAGAAACATCTCAAAACAGCCCAAATATCCCCATTTTATCACGCACAGAAGCACCCCATTCTCTGGGGTGACTCGCTTAGATGCACGTGCTGAACCTGCAGGTGTCTAAAGCCAGCTGAGATCAGTTCTGCCCCACGTGTCTCTCTGCCCTTGCTCAACCCAACCTTCCCCTTCTCGCTTTCCCCTTTTCTCAGGAAATGTGGAAAATGCAAAATTTCTTTCTTGGGTTCAAAACGTCTTTTCCAGCCACGAACGGTGGTAAAGGCAGACACAGAAAGGAGCTCACCGGTGTTTGGATAGGGTCTCCTTGCTCATTCCACCAGGACCTCAGGCGGGGTTTTTGCTCCAGGGCAGTAATGGTGTCTAAAATGAGCCATTATAATATCTATAATATAAAAGAAAGATACCTTGGCCACCAGTTTTAAAGGGAGTGACGCCAAACTGAGACTCTCCCTTTTGTTTCCGTGCTGAGGGAAACAGAAGGCAGCTCGGTTTCCAACTAGCCTGGATGGAAAAGGGTTGTCCTCCAGGTTCCTGGTTCTTCCCGTACATCTGGATTTCACACGATGGAGAGGAGTCACCACTCCAGTGCAGGATCTGCACGTTTGAAGCCCAAGTCTTCAACTTCATTTTAACCAAAGAGAAAAAAAAAAATACATTTTCTGTTTCTGTGCCTTTTTTACCCACCAGCTAGAAGACACCTCCGGCATGGGGTTCATCTCACCCTCTTTTAGATCCAGCTCATATTAAGACACAAATCTGAGCGTCTGTCATTACCTATTTGCAAGCTAAAGGTCTCGTTCCAGCTAAGGCGACCCTGGCCAACGCAATCAGCAGAGTTTATCCATCTCTTCAGCTGCCAAAATGTAGGTGTCCGCCTTGCGCTGTGCCACACCGGACCCCACCGATGGACTTGACCAAATCTTCCTTGGCCACGCAGGGAGCCCACGTACCCAGCCCGGACGTAGAGGCGACACGGTGTTTATTTAAAGTTAAATTTAAAGGAGATAAGTCCTTCCCCTTAAAGGGGTGATGGCCAACTCTAGTCACCAAGTATCTAAACCGAGGGAGGTGGCTCCTTCCCCTGCGATAGCAGTGTTGGCCCAGCGCTGGGTTTAAAAGAGATTAATCTGAATTAAGGCAGCTCCGCCTAAAAAAGCTAAGCCTCGCTGGCTCCAGCCAAACCCTGAGATGCAGTGTGTGCTTTCCGCAGAGGAGCCAGGGGACAATTTCAGACACAAGACCCCAACTACGGCGTCAAACCACTGTTCTGACCGCCTTATTTCTGCTTTCTTAAGTAAGATGAATTCTAGTCGGAAACTCATTTGCACCTCGAAGTCCTGGAGCATTTAACGTGACACAGAGACAAGCTCAAACACCTTGCTGAGGACGTAGCCGTAGCAGCTCCTGCCCCTTCAGAGGAGTGGAGCTCCAAAGCAATTGGCGACTAATCAGCGCGAACGCAAAACGAGGTGCGAGATGCCAGCCACGTCCTCGCCCGCTCATCACGACCCACCAGGAAAGGGAGTTGCAACGCTGGGTGCTCCTTCTCCCCTCTGTAACTCTCCTCCTGGAGCCCCACAAGGTGTTTCCCACCGCTCTGGTGGTCAGCGAGGGCCGTTAGACACAGCTAACCCCTGGTCTCCTCACACATGGCCAGCCCTGCTTGCGCAACGAGTGAAACGCTTTCGGTTTGGAGAGCGGCAGCTCCAGCAGGAACCCACAACGAGCAGAGCAGTAGTGCTACAGAGCCACAGACTTGTGATTTTAAAGCACAAAGAGTTCGGCACCCCGGGCTGCATCCCCCGCAGCGTGGCCAGCAGGGCGAGGGGGGATCGTGCCCCTCTGCTGTGCTCTGCTCTGGGGAGACCCCCCTGCAGTGCTGCCTCCAGCTCGGGGGGTCTCAACAGCAGAAGGACACAGAGCTGTTGGAGCAGGGCCGGAGGAGGCCATGAAGATGCTCTCTGAGGGCTGGAGAACCTCTGCTGGGAGGACAGGCTGGGAGAGTTGGGGAGGTTCAGCCTAGAGAAGAGAAGGCTCCAGGGAGATGTTATTGTGGCCTTCCAGTACCTAAAGGGGCTCCAGGAGAGCTGGAGAGGAACTCTGGATCAGGGATGGGAGGGATGGGATGAGGGGGAATGGTTTTAAACTGGAAGAGGGGAGATTTAGATTAGATATGAGGAGGAAATTCTTTCCTGTGAGGGTGGTGAGCCCCTGGCACAGGTTGCCCAGAGAAGCTGTGGCTGCCCCATCCCTGGAGGTGTTCAAGGCCAGGTTGGACGGGGCTTGGAGCAACCTGGGCTGGTGGGAGGTATCCCTGCCCAGGACAAGGGGGCTGAACGAGATGATCTTCAAGGTGCCTTCCAACCCAAACCATTCTATGGTTCTATGAAACACCACGTGATGGTGAAGTCAAGACCAGCTGGACACAAAGTCATCAAATATTGTCATATTTTACATACAAATAACCGTTGTAGGTCACTGCAGTAAGACAAGATGTTCTAGGACTGCAAAGAAAACCTTAAAAATAACCCTGAGTCTCTTATTTAAAGAAAAAGGTTGGAAACCTCTATAATGGTGGTTAAACACAGAAATTGGGGCCAGGGAGGGTGTGAAAGCTCTGCCCTGGGCGGTCCCCAAGGCTCAGCGGGACAAGGAGGGTCTGAGTTGGCCATGGTGGGTGTGGGTGGACATCCCGGAGACCTCCCGGGTGTTTCCTGCCGATAAGGGAGGAACGGGAGCGCAAACAGCCCGGGAGGGTGTTTGCCCCACACTAGCAGTGCCGACCAAGCAGCCGATCGTTGGCTGGATTAAATAATAACCAGGGAACTGTCAGGAAGCTTTCGGGAACAAAGAAGGATTCAGCTGATCGGCCCTGGGTGCCTGTTAGTTGCGTGTCATTAATAAATCAGCGAACCGCTTCGATCCCGACGTGATTTAACCCACCTGAGCCGCTTCTCCCTCCAACCCGAGTTATTACACGTCTCTGGGACAGCACCAAGGCTAAGCCATCCCTCCCAATTTCGCCACGGTCCTGAGAGAGGCTGCAGTCTCTATGGGCTGAGGTAATACCCAAATTGGAGTATTTTGGGTTGGTTTTGTTTGTTTTTTTTGAAGGATGCAACCTGTGTGCGCCACCCAGCAGCTCTCTCCGTGGGAAGGCAGCAGGAGGGAGGTCGGGGCAGGCAACGGCAGCGGCTGCAAAATAAAGGGTCTGAAGGAGAAGGCGGCTGCGATCTGTTGTGGTCGGGGTACCGTGGAGATGATGGCTTGTAGGAGATCCTGGCTTTTATCCCGGTCCACAGGGAGACGGAAGGAAAGGTGTGGAGCAGTGGATAGGGGCTGCTTGATAGCATCTCCCCTTGGGGGGGGATTCATCACTACCGCATCCTAAAATGCGCCTTCATTCACAGCAGAGGTCACCCGAATGCGGTATTTAACTTCAATTTTTAGCTGGCTAATGTTAAATGAGGCGTATGGTGCTGGTAATCACTTAACGAGGTTTGAGCATGAATAAGAAAAAAATATTTCCTGGGTGGCATGCCACCTATTTGCTGTCACCTCAATTTTTCTTGCTGAAGGTATTGGCACCCTAAGGCTAGTTGTTATTATTATTGTTATTATTATTATTACTACTACTACTCTATTACTATTATTATTATTAACGACTATACAACGCCTACTTGAAATGGAATTTCATTTAGCGGGACAGTACAATTACCCCCCTCTTTATCCTGCCCTGCTAAGCAAAAGGGAGAGCAGCACATGCCGCAGCTCGTAATTAGAGTCCAGCCAATCGCAGCAATTCTTTGCCGTATTCTTCCGGTTTAATTTGGCCTGAGACACAGGACTGCACAAATGGTAGAGGGCAAAATTGTAAATGAGGAGCGGTGCACGCTTGTCGTTCTCTGCCTGTGTCTTCATTAGGTTAAATTAACTACTAAATGTAATAACATAAATGATATAAACATAAATTATATAAACATAAATAATATAAACATAAATTATATACACATAAATGTTTGGAGAACTGAGCGAAATTATTAGTGAAATTATTATCCATCTGAGAATATTGAATCAACCAGCGAAGCTACTAAGTCAAAGCGCAGAAGACCCCAAAACTGTTATCAATCTGAGAAATTCAATCATCAAAATGTGACCACGTCCCCCCACATCGCCATTCTATCTGGCCATAAATTTACAACATTCAAGATTATTTTCTTTTTGTGAGTCTCCTCAAAGCCTCCTTCACCTCCTTATTCCTCAGGCTGTAGATCAAGGGGTTCAGCATGGGAGTCACCACGGTGTAGAAGACCGCAGCCCATTTATCTCCTCCTCCTGAGCTCTCTGAGCTGGGCTTTAAGTACATAAAAAGTGATGTCCCGTAGAAGATGCTCACAGTGGTGAGGTGGGAGGCGCAAGTGGAGAAGGCTTTGTGCTTACCCTCGGCTGAACGTATGCTCAGGATGGCAGAGATGATGGCCGCATAGGAGACCAGGACAACCAGGCTGCTGGACACACCGAATAAAGATGCTGAAGTTCTCAGGATAACGTGACTGAGGGTGGTGTCGGAGGTTGAGAGTGATATCAGAGGGGAAATGTCACAGAAGAACAGGTCGATGACGCTGGAGCTGCAGAAGGATAAATTGGACATGCTGATAGTCTGTCCCATGCCGTTTGTCAGCCCCAGGAGATATGACCCAGTCACCAGCTGGAAACAGCATTTTGGGGACATGACAAGGGGATACACCAGGGGATGGCAAATGGCCATGTAACGGTCATACGCCATCGTAGCCAGCAGGAAGCATTCGGTCATCCCAAAAAGATCAAAAATAAACACCTGGGCCATGCACCCGGCGTAAGCAACGCCCTTCTTCTCTGCTATAAAGTCACTCAACATCTTGGGGGTGATGACAGTGGAAGAGCAGAGGTCTACAAAAGCCAGGTTGCCCAGGAAATAATACATGGGGGAGTGGAGCTGAGGGCTCATCTTGATTAATGCAATCATCCCAAGGTTCCCCAGGATGGTGGCAAGATAAATGAGAAGAAACATCAGAAAGAGGGTGACCTGAGTCACCGGGTCCTCTGTGAACCCCTTTAAGCTGAACTCAGTCACTTGGGTGCAGTTGGTTCCTGCCATTAGTTGGACGTGTGCTTTCTGTGTGGACTCCTTGATGGAGGTTTCTCCTACAGCAGGCAGGTATGTCCCAGGTGGAAAGCCCTCTCTGCGGTGACATCTGCTCAGAGACAGTCCTACAAGATCGAAAAGAAGAGTTTAGGCACAGACCAACTAGAAACAGCTTGCCGAAAGTCGTATCACAGGGCAGGTAAAACAGACGGGGTGCGGCGAAAGCAAAGCTTTGCTGGAGCTGTAAAACCCCACAGCGCAGCGCGGTGCGTGGTCCTCTGGTCCACTTCTGGATGTCCAGCACGGACCTTTGTGAAAAGCTGTAGGGAGGTTACATCCCCGCGTAGCTTTACCTTGGTGCTGCAATTCATCCCCCAATCTGGTGTTCAGTCTGGGACGTCGAGATCATCCAACTCAACCTGAAACACAGAGAAACACAGTACTTCTACAGCGCAAAGTTGATTATTCATCCTCTCGTTGGCCTTTGCCAACTCCTTCTCCCTTTGCTCGGACTTCTTCCTTACTATGAGACCTTAGACAGAGGTTCGTGTTGGTTTCCCATCCCTCCTGATACACTAGTTTAGCTACAAAAGCTTTTCCTGGCTCTTTAGCCTGTTCCTGGAGTCTTCAACTGGAAATGGGCAACACCCAAAGCAAAAAAAAATCATCTTTTGGACCTGCCTCATCTCAGCGCTGGTAAGCTGCCTAAATATTCTTTCCAGGAAAGCTTCTGGTCCTCAGCCAGGAGCACTTTGCGGTCAATGGGGAGAGGAAGCCTCCTGAGCGTGCTCTCCAACAGGGTGATCTCCACACCTCCCTTCTCAGCAGTTGAGGAGGGGTCTGATCTCCAGACCTCCCTTCTCAGCAGTGAGGACACACAGGCCGTCCAGCTCCCTGTATTTTTGGTGGAAAGTCCAGAGTATCATGAAGAACTGAAGCCCGGGACCCTGCATGTAGGGTATGAGATGAAGACAGGAGCTGTTTCTCTTTTGCACGAGAAAAATCACCGGAGATGGGTGGCTCAGCACCCACTGTCCTCGCTCGTGAGTCTGGTACTGGAGCTCCAGCTCAGGCTGAAAGACAGTGACCCTCACTTACATCTCAGCACTATCTCTGCTTCCCTCCTGGTGCTCTTGGAGGTGGATGTGAAGACGCGTGTGCCTGAAGCTCTGCAGAGGAGCTTGAAAATAAACCACTGTCAGCAAACACCCTTAATATTCCACATAATTTGGGGATTTGGGGACTGTGGATCTCTTTGAGCCCCGGGAGAATGGCAAAGCCCAAAACAAGTCATTATCTTTTCGCTGCACTCGGTTTGGAGAAGCGTACCCAGAGGAGATGACCTCAGCCTGAGTGAACAACAGGGCTTTGGGCTCTCTTCGGAGCAAATCGCAGAATGAAGCCCCATTTTCACATCTACTTTTTGAACATTTCGGAGACAGCAGCAGCTCCGCAAGCACCATGTTTGATGTTATCACGCTAGGGAGCTGAGGGAGACCTCACCGATGGGGCGCAGCCCTGCAGGGGCTGGGCCAGGGCTGGTCACAGGGTCCATCAGCAGTCCCAGGCACCCTGGATGACGAACCACCTTTCTACCCATCTTAAATTCTTTGTTTGCAAATCATAGCTCACAAGTTTGGCTGCTAGGAGACAACAGAAGATCTTGGTGACCTTGCCAAAGTTGAGGTAAATGCCACCCACTGCTCTCCTTTTCATCCACACAGCCATCACCTCATCACCCGTAGCACTCAGGTTGGTCAAGCATGACTTGCCCTTGGTCCATCCCTGCTGGGTACTCACCTTCTTGTCCTTCCTCTGCCTGGAGAGGGCTTCCAGGGGGATTTGCTTCTTAATCCTGCAGCCCACAGTCCTCGTGCCCTCCATCTCGGTGATGACATCTACTTTCTTTCATCCATCACGCTGGAAACGCACCAGCCAAAAGGGCAAATGAGAGCCTGAGGAAGAGGCGTCCAAAACTGGAAGGGAGATGATGGGAAGGATGAGATAAGGAGCATGAAGAAGGACTGAAAGCGGCAGCAAGTGGGGAAAAGGGCCCTTCAGAAGGGACGAAGGGAAGCGCTAGGGCTGGCCCTGTCTCTGGTGGCTCTGATGGAGGTGCCCAAGCCCAAGGGGAGGTGTGGTGAACCTCTTCCTACAGCCCGTTCGCACCTAGCGAAGGCGAGTGGCAGAAACCACTGTGCGATAAGGTCAGACGATGTATTTTGCAGAGTGGGGATTAGCTTAAAACGCAGAAAGCCCTGACCCACACCCTTCGCTGAGCCGCGAGCGGGGCAGCAGGCTGAAACCTCCCAGCCCCAAACACCAACGGAAAGTAAACGTCACATGGATTCCCACCAGAGCTCAGCCAGATCCAGGCTCCGCTCTCGGCGAGGAAAAAACGTTCAGAGCGTGGTGGGGTTGGACATCACCTCGGACACCGAGGGCTGGTGGTGTACAGACTTGGAGCCAGAGGCTGCCCTTCCCTCATGGTGCACCCCTGGAGAGCAAACCCCCACGCTCTGGGCAACATTTGGGGTTTAAGACCTTTCCAGGGCCTCATCTTCTCCTTTCCAGTACAAAAACCAACGATGCGATGCTGCGGATGAGCCCTGGGAGGTCCGGTCCTGCCCGGGAGCTGAGCCCCCCCCCCTCCATCTTCCCCCCCGCTGTCA